ATTATTTTAAAAGAATTATATAATTTTTAGGGATATTATCAGTTAAGGTACAAACTTTTCAAATTTCATCAATGGGTGGACAAAAGTTTAAATTGTTCAATTAAGGGACACTAAACAGTTCCTTAGGGTTAGATTTAACTTTAATAAGGCAAATACATAATTGAACAAATTAAAAATATTCTTTTTTTCTAAAATAAAAATTATCAAATAAAATAAAAATAAAAGATTTAAATTGTCCCTTTTTACAAAATATATAATAATTTTTTTATTATATATATATATTTTTTAGTGTCCTTGGAAAAAAATTGGTTTTGGCCTTTTTTTGAAAAACTTTTAAAATATATGTTTAAGAACTAAATTCACTTAAGAAAAGGAAAAAAAAAAAAAGAAAAAGAAAATATGAAGCACATCTAAATTATTTTGTCATTCTCATTTTTCAGTTAAAGTTAATGGTAAATAACCATTAGATATCTCATAATTGAAAAAACTATAACTTATGTCTTCTCATTGCAAAAGTATGAAAACGTTATACCTAAATTGATAAGATCACTTTAAACAAAAATAATAATAATAATAATAATATTATATACAAACATTATCAATGAAGGTATAAACTTTTCAAACTTTTGCAATGGGAGGATATAAATCGTTTAGTTAAGGGACAACTACAGGAGATTTATTGTTAACTTTAATGAAAATTTTTAAAAAGACTTAAATGCCCTTCACTATTTTCTATTTCTTAAATAAATTTTGTTCTTTAATTAAAAAAACAAATTAACAAACTAAGAATGAGCAATTTTTTTTTAAAGAAAATCGAAAAAAAATTAGAAGAAAAATTACTAAAAATGAAAAAAAAAAATGTTAAAATGAAGCCAACAACATCGGCGATGAGCCTGACGGTGTTGGCCTCAATCTGGCCCTACGTTGCCAGATTGATGCCACGCTAGGGAATTGCACCTACAGTAGCTCCCCTTCTTCGGCTGGCCTTGAGCTACGCATGGGTAGATTGCCTTGATTCGACCTGACTGGCCAAATTGAGGCTAGAGCTACCGGCACTACTAGGCTGCATTTTTTTCGTTTTTTTTTTTCTTTTTTCCAGTTTTTTTAATTTTTGTTGTGTTTTAATTTAAAATTTTAATTTTTTTTTAAATTTTTGGTAATTTTTTAAATAAATAATTAAACTCACATAATTCTTGTTTTGCCTCTATATAAAGTTAAATTTAACTCTAAATTACTGTTTATGTCCCTTAATTGAAGGATTTACAACATCTTTGTTTCCTTTAAATATTTTTGAAAAGATTGTACCCTAATTGATGATATTTCTAATATAAACCCCTATTTCGTTTTTTTAAAGAAATTTAGATTAATACTTGATTTCAAATAGAAAATTGATATTTTTTTAATAAATGTATACAATATTTGAAGAATGTAACACAAAATTATAGATTGATAAAGATTGGGGATTAATGTATACAATAAATGTTATGCTTAAAATAAGAGCTGACCTACGTTGACATCATTAAACACCAATCAGAGTTCAATAAAGCTTTCCACCATTCAGAACTTGTCACATCTCCAAAGGCGAAAGGAATATAGTTGTCAACAACGCAGCTAACTCAAAAATTTATCTATGAATGAATTTGGTTCATATACCTGTTTAAGTCCCATTTAATTTAAAGATATTCTTTGAGTTCTCAATGAACGGAAAGACAGGAGAGATCTACACAACATCAAACCACTTGCAAAAGTGTAATCATTACCTTGAGTACAATGGTATAAATAGGTAGTTCCCCCTTACAAAATTGGGATCATACATCCTTAAATTCAACAAAGAAAATAGCAAAGACACACTGCTAAAAAAAGACTGACTTGACATTCTTTAAGAATACTTAGAACACCAAGCACTTGTAATACTAGATCGTAGTTCGCAACCTCTTATAATCTTGTGTAACGATCAGGAACATATTTATATAAAAATAACATAGTAAATATAGGACTCACTTTAAGTATTTGAACCATAAAAAAAAATCTTACTATCTTTTTTATTTTTTACGTCTTTGCATGTTACTATGCAAACGGTACCTCACCCATTTACCATAATATGCTCATGTGTAACTTAATATTTTACACATGTAAAGTTGTTAGTGTCAAAATCAAGCACTAATAATAAATGAATTGTTATTTCATTCTTGTCTTTTTTTTTTTTTTTTTTTTTTTTTTTAATAATTCAGTTATAATAAATATACAACTAAATGTTTTTATTATTCAAATAACACCCTTCTACTCCACCCAGCAAATTCAAATGATTGATAAACATGCGTAATGAGTCTTGTAATTTCATGTGAAAAACGAGGGATCGAGCCCCGAGGGGTGAATTATTATCAGCAATAACACTACGGACACCGAAAAAGTTACATCGAAATTCTGTACCGGTCTACGTGTAACGCACATCTGAATATTTTTACAATTTTTTTCTAATTTGGATGGCCATTCACTCACATGGACGCCCGTCCATATTATATGGACGGGCGTCCATATACAAGGGACGGGCGTCCCCATTTAAAGGACGTCCGTCCATAAATAACATACAATAAAAAAATTTGTAAAACATTATGGACGACCGTTCATAGGTTGTGGACGACCGTTCCTTAATTTTAGACGGGCATCCGCAAATACGGAACGCCCGTCCAAACTTAATTTGTTTTAAAAAATAAAATAAAAAATTTGGACGCCCGTCCATAAATTGTGGACGGGCGTCCCTTAAGTTTGGACGGGCGTCTATAACCAATGGACGGCAGTCCACACTAAAGGGACGGCCGTCCATTATTCTTTCTCTCTTTTTCTATTCTAGTTCATTCTTCTTCTTCTTGTTTTGTTTGAGTTTCATTGCTGAAACTATTTACATTTGCAGATTTTTAGGACTGTGTGTTAATGGCTTTGGGATCATTGGTGCAATTATTCATGGGGTTTCAGTTCCTGTTTTCTTTATATATTTCAGGAAGATGATCAATATTATTGGATTGGCTTATCTTGCCCCCAGAATAGCTTCTCACAAAATTGCGAAGGTATCCAAAATTCTTCAAGAATCTGTAAATTACTTCATCTTTAACTTTCTAACTTATTCTTCAAGACAACCCCAGCTGGGTATTTTCCCTTTTCTATTCCATCTTTGAAAATTTAAAATTCATCCAATCTCTTCCATCTTTACTATCTCAACAACACTACTCCTTAACTCAGTCACAATGGCAACCCAAGAAGTGGAGAAGAAATCACAAGACACAGTTCTGGAAGAGTTTCATCAGCTGGCTGGGAAACTTAGGAAAGATGAAGAGGGAGCACACCTTCAGGTTCTACTCATAATAGTGGAGGACATGGGCCGCATGCTTCATCCAAGCTGCATGGCGCCCTTATTCCAATAGAAAGAAAATGGAACATTTACGAAAGGAAGAAGAAGAAGCAGACATTTTTTTTTTTTTTTTTTTTTTTTTAAGTATGGACGGGCGTCCATTACAAATGGACACCCGTCCAAAAGTAATGGATGGCCGTCCATAACAGATGGACGGCCGTCCCCAATATTTATAAAAAAAATTTATTATATTTTATTTATGGACAGGCGTCCTTTAAATGGGGACGCCTGTCCCTTGTATATGAACGCTCGTCCATATAATATGGACGGGTGTCCATGTGAGTGAATGACCGTCCAAATTTGATGGACGACCGTTCACTAGAAAAAAATTGTAAAAATATTCAGATGTGTATTACACGTAGGCCGGTACAATATTTCGGTACAAAAATCCCGATGTCTGTAGCATTATTGTTATTATAAGACGTCTAGAGAATTACTCATAAAAAATATTATTTTATATGTTTACTAAGTAACAAAACATAAATTAATTTTTCTAGTTTTTTCAGCTATTATCTTATTTAAACGAAAAATGGTTATTTCATTTGGTTTATATTTGTCTAGGTTTTTTGTTTTTCTTTTACAATTTCATTTATAATTTTTTTTTTTTTAGTCTTATTTACCATACAAGTGAGAAAATTTCTTTAGTCCCTAAAATTATGATCAAATAGACTTGAATTTAGTAAAAGTTTTAGTTAACATTATGATCTATGTTAATATGACATATGTCGCGAATTTTACATTGAAAGCGCATTGAAGAGGTCTTAGATTTATAAGAGAGGAGTCCCTTCGTCTAATGGATTAACTTTTTTTGGTGTAAAACTTCCAGTGATATCATAGCAAACTTGATCCGTCTTTCGATGTATCATTAAGCACCCACGTAGAGAGACGTTCAAGTGTGATAGTGGGTTCACTCGAGAGTGAGATTGACAGGCATCTGTGATAATTGTGTCACAAGATTGGATGAGGGTGAATGTCACGGATCCCACAATGAAACCCTCGTCATTGGCTTGGGTGAGAACTTATATCATATATCTCATATCGAAAGTGTATTGGGAAGGTTTTGACATATAGCAAGAGAGTTCCTTATGAGTTAGTTTTTTTGGGTGTAAAACTCTGTGACACATGACATATCTGGCGTTAGGGCACTATTGTATTTTCATATAACAAACTTAATTTTATATAAAATTTAAAATTTTAATTTCCAATATAACATTAAAAATTAAAAACCAGTTACACATTCCCGCCGGGCCAGGCACACACCCATTCAACTCGCACCCCGCCCCGCCTCTCCCTCAATTCAATACCCGCCACCCCTCCTCTGGCGACAGCCGCCTCGCCCCACCCCTATCTCCACCATCTCTCCTTTACTCGACTCAACGCGTCCTACCTGAATAATCTCAACCGTTAGTTAAAGGTTTGTATTTTTTTCTTCTAATTTGATCCTGTTGTTGTTTAAAATGATGCAATTGGTGACAGTTGCGCCGAATTTCATGGTCGCTTTCGGTGTGTATTTGTTGGGTACTCTTTCAATTTGGGTGTGTATTGGATGTGATTTGATTAATTGGGTTTTTTGGAAATGTAGGAGACGGTGAAAATGTTTTATCTTAGCAAAATTGAGCACACACTGCGTTTGCCTCCTCATCTCCTTAGCCGTCCTCTTGATGAAGCTATTAAATTAGAGTTAGAAAATATTTTCTTAGATAAGGTATGTGGAACTTTTCTTTACTTTGACTCTACACTTTTTTTCTAATTTAAGTTTGTTGGATATTTATGAACTGTGCTGGATAGTATGTAGAAGAAGGTAATTATTTTTGTTTTGAAGGTTGTTGCAAACTTGGGACTCTGCATTTCTGTGTATGATATCTTCAAAATTGAAGGTGGATTTATTTTTCCAGGAGAAGGTGCTTCCACATATACGGTATATATATGAACTTTAATATGTTTTTATCTCAGGTGTATGTATTCTCAACGTCATCAAATCATTTTCAGGTTTTTTCACGAGCTATTAATGTGCTAGTTGTATTCGCTTCATTTGTTGTATTGTAATTTTGTTTACTTTGGATTGGATTTGTCAGTGCTAGGTTAAGGGGATGTGCAAGATATTGGGTTCCAAGTTTGTGCTTTGTAATATTTCCTAGATTTTTTAGTTTAGTTTAGTTTTATTTATTTGCTTGTCATGAATAAGGTGAGGAGTGAAGATGCCCTTGAGACTATGTGGAAAAGCTTCTTTGTCGTGGTATTAGAGGCTTTAATTCAAAGCTTAATACTCACTAGCATGTAACCATTGTCTCACTCCAAAGGGAAAAAAAGAAAAAGTGCGATGTCGCGTAACTTTCAAGTTGTCCTCAATGGGAATGTATTTTTAGATTTTATATTGCTTGGAATAATTATTTTTGGGCGAAGCCTCTCACAGTTATGATTAGTTTGTGTATACACTTTTTTTTTTTCTTGGGGGGGGGGGGGGGGGGGGGGGGAAGACATACCTTTATAGTGAACTTGTTTGGTTCTTTAACAATTCTTTTAAAAGCAATTTGGGATCTTGATTTTATAATTGATCAGCTTCTTCTGATACATGATCATAGGATATTTTTGTCATGTGCCATGAATTTTCTGTATAAAATACAGTACCGACTCAGTGAATTTCAAATTTGTTGACAATCTTGTTTTGTACATCTGGCAGGTCGAGTTTAGATTGGTTGTGTTTCGCCCCTTTGTGGGAGAGATCATTGCTGCTAAACTTAAAGAATCTGATGCCAATGGTTTGCGCTGTATGTCTAACAACGATCTCAGTACCTTATTTTGTTGTGATCTACTCTAGATATGCATCCACTTGTAATATTTTCCTTATTTTTTTATATACCTTTTTAAGAAGTATGTATCATATGGATGGATTTGCTCCTTTAATTTTCTCGAGGGCTGGAGGGGGAGTTTAACCTTCTAGTTTCATGGTTTTTTGCTAAGGAGTTCCAATAAGGACTGTAGATTGGATAGTCTTTGGGTTGTGATTCCATAGGACTTGATGGTCTTGTTCAGTTGGGAAGACATCTTTGATTGTCCATAAAATTCAGGCTTTATTCTTTCAACTGATTGTCTTCTGTTGTTATCTCTCCTTCAAACCTATGCCAAGATTTCTACACAAGGATGGTTTAGGAGGACAACTCTCTTATCTATGAATGGTAAATTATAACTCAAAATGAGTTTTTGAGTCTTAGGTCCTGTTGAGCACAGTGCTCTGCTGGTCATCTGATAAACCTCCTATAACTAAGATTTACAAGAAGAAGAGAGGAAGGGGCAGAAAGGGTAATTGAGAAGAGAGTTAGTTAGTGTGGAATATTCCACGTGGATTTAGAAAAGGGTAATTTGGGCATGACTTCATTATTGTATATAAGAGAGGGAAAAAGCGTGTGGAGGATATTGAATATTTTGGATCTTTGTTGGGAGGCCGCTAGCTTCTCGAAGTGCTAAGTACTCCCTTATTTTGCTGTTTATCATTTTGCTCTGTTTCTTTCTTACCATCTTGTTACTATTATCATATCAATATATACAGATTGCTTGTTACTTATTGGTTGTCCTGAGTGTTATTGAACTGTATTTTGATTGTTTTGGTTGAGTTCCCATCATCATCTCATGGATATGCTGGTTGTCACTGATTGCAAGGCTTAGGGTTCAATCCATTTCCTCGGTTAAAGATTGTGTTTGATTGCAATCTTTATCATCTTGTGCTCGTAATTTGAGGGGTTGATCTTTGCTTGCCTGTTGGGGAAAAAAAAAAAAAAAAACCTTATTTGTTTAATAAGGGTTTTAGCCTTGGTTCATCGAAGTAACCTATTTTTGAAGAGAGAATTCCCTGATCTCCTACTTTTTGTACATACATTCTTGACTGATATTTGTGGCTGCAATTGAAGCGTCCTTGTGGTATTCTTGAATGATTAATGGTCGAAATTGAAGCCTTGTGGTGTTGCTGAATTCAGTAGCAGCTTTTTTTTTTCCCGATAAGATTGAGTCTTTCTATCAGTGCCAGGCAACTCAACGTGTTTCCATCTTCTGATGCAGCTGTATTAATTCTCTTCTATCTCTCTAGCGTTCTTCTTTGCCAAAGTACAGGACAGTACACATTTTCTGTTGCCTTACTACAATATTTTGTCCTTACATATATGCTCATTTTTGTCAGAATGTCTCTGTTTGTTGTTTTCCCTTAAATAAAACTTGGGATTGCATGGAACACGTTGATGGTGGCAAGTATTAGTTGGGAATTGACTTCCCTGACTGGGATGATGAAATTGAGCCATGATAAAATAATTTAGGGGTGGGCGGGTCCAGCTACCCGTCCCAAGCATTGGAACCGCAGTGGGTTCCGGTTCCTAAATGCCTGGAACTGGAATCTGAACCACAGGTTCCAGCTCCGGGTACCCGACACTGTTCACATAAAATTACAATACACCCCTATTGTTCACAAAAATGACAAATATACCCTGTAAATATTACAAGTACACCCCCAACTGTTTACAGGAATTACAAATACACCCCAGATACCCCATCGGCTCCATGCTGGGTAGCCAAACCTTGGTTCCGATTACGGTTCCTAAAGTGGTGGAACCAGAACCGGAACAGGAACTGCACAGTGCCGGTTCCACCAAACAACTGACACCCTAGGTACTTGTCGACTCTGGTTCTACCCTAAAAACTTGCACACTTCTAACGAGAATAGAAATCTAGTCATCTTTACTCAGTAGAGGAAACTTTGGCTGTATATGGCTTGAAGAATCCTCCCAGATCTGTCAAGTAAAACTGATCTACAGGACATTTTCTTGAACTAATATATTAACTTTATCATAGATTTCATAATAGTGAAATTTCACTTCGGACGGATGGATTGTGGATAAATTTAAACCTTGAGTGTAGTTTTCCTTACAGAATTGTTATGCCTTTTTGTTTGTCTTTTCTTTATTATACTGNTCGACTTATGGTTTCCTTTTTCCTTTATGTTAACAAGTTTCTGGTTTTGTCAAAGTACAACTAATTTTCAGTTATCAAAGGAAAACACGGATAATAATTAAGTATGCTTTTGATTTATTATTTTGGGTAGGATTTTGGGGATAGTATTGGATAATTGAATATGGGAGTATTACGAGGTAAAATTTACAAAATTTATAGAAAAACCCCCTAAGTTTGCTAATTTCATAAATACCCCCAACATGTAAATTGACAAAAATACCCCCACCACCTACAGTGCCAGATTCTGGCCACTACCGCCGGAATCTGGCCGAAAAATCGCGTTACGACACAGACCGGTCGGATCTGCGTCGTAACGAGTCGTTATGGCCTTTTCCGGCCAGATCCACCACAAATCTGGCCGGAAAAGGCCAGATCTACGGCCTGCCGTGGCCGTCGACGGCCGAAAAAGGCCAAAACGACTGCCATCTTTGGCCGTCGTTTTCGATCAACGATGGCCAAGATTTGGCCGTCGTTCACGGCCAGATCTGGCCTTTTCCGGCCAAATCCGTGGTGGATCTGGCTGGAAAAGGCCAGATCCGTGAACTTCCGGCCATTTATGGTCGGCAGGTTGGCCGTTGTATAGATTTCGGCTACCATCGACGGTGGTTGCCGGAATCTGGCGAGTATGGGTTGCGGGGGTGTTTTTGATAATTTTTAAACTTTTTTTTTAGGGTGTATTTGATGAAATTAATAACCTTATGGGGTCTAAAAGTAATTAAAAAATAGGGTAATATTCTTGGAATAATAAGCCAAAAGTTATTTGGAGAATAGGATCCAGAATCTGGATAAAAATAGTAAGCCAAACATAGTGTAATTAATTATTTGTTGTAACCCACTTTTATTAAGGCCATATATTTATGTTTTTTATATAGAGAAATTAACTCAATAAATTGGCATAATGACCTCCATTAAGTAACAAATTTTATATACAACTGAAGTGAATTTACTCTTTTACTGTTACATCATTCAAAACTAATTTATTGAGTTGAATTTTTTATTGAAAATTTTCTTTTTATTTCAAGTTACAGCATTTTTTTTTTTTTTATAAAAAACAATTATTGAGTTCGCATATTTAATATGATTCACTAACACGATTCATAGGATCATGAGTTATGTTACGAATATAAATTATGTAATGATATATTTTTGTGCTAAGAATATTATTTATTTTTTGATGAGGTAGAGACGATCGAAGATTGCACAAAACTTTAATACCAACGACACTATACCAAAAAAAGAAAAGAGTGGAATAGAAAATATTACGTGAAAAAACTAAGAAAAGGATTGTAGAAAGAAATTGTTGTGCGCTAAAAATCTTCAGCTCGAGATTAGTTAAGAAAGCCCGAAATATGCTTCTGCTTGAAGTAGACACCAGACACAGGGGCAAAGATGAACCAAGGAGAGCACAAAAAATCAGCAAACATATGCGAGCATGACATTTGGCGAGGCAGGAAAGGGGGCCCACCGTGTAAAAATATATTTTCACTCGGCCAGATCACCTTACCACGTATAGCTGCCTGCTTCGATCGACAACACCCGACAAAGCAAACTCCATGTGCCTTTCATGCAACTAAACTAAAAGGAAATTTGTAAAGGCACCTGCTGTCAGAAGGAACACCATCATTCCCTACAACGTAAGGGCATGTGAGTCTCCGGCTGTCATGTGACATATGACAACCCAGCTAACGCACCTGTTATCATGACACTCCCAAGTCTCCATATAAATAGAGACAAGGGCCAAAGAAGAAGAGATCTTTTTTTCCTGGTTCAGGCTCCAGCTCTGAAAGAGGAGTAAGAGAAAAACTTCCCCTCTCCAGTAGGAAAAAAATCCACTCTTTGTGACCCAAACGATACTTACACTTGAATAATATATCAGTGAATGTAGGCCTTCCTTGTTCTTCGGCCAAACCTGTAATATTCTCTCTAGCGAGTAATTCTTTGGGAAATATTCAAATTCCTCTAAATAACTTTTGAAAACTGATGAGAATGCAAAATGTCATATTTTGCCCCTTTAATGTCTAGTATTTTATACTTATTTGGTGCCTAAATGTACTCTTTATTATTTTATTTTGATTTAGGATGCAAATGGAGAAGTTAAATGCAAAACAAAACTAATTACGTGAATTTGGACAGTTTCAACATCGCTTCGTAATCTGAGCATAACTCCCTCATCCGAGCTCCGATTGAGATGATTCAAAATTCCATGGGACCTCAAGAAATAGATCTACAACTTTCATGTTTTGAGTTTGGAGAGATACTCGATGAATCAAGGTTTTAATCAGGCTTGAATCTGATGCGCCTGCACTGCTGACTTTCTAGAACATTCGACCTTATCATGCAATTCAAATATGCGTTTATTATTGGAAGTTTTGAAGATCTAGTGCATGAAAGTTACAGCTGGAAACACCACTTTCCTAGTTATATTAGGACTTTATTTTATTTTTAATTAATCAGATTTGTATAAATGTTATTTTAGGATAAAACTTCGAATATTTTTAGGAGATTGAGTAGAATTCAAAGACTTGAATTGGATATTTTTAAGAGGGGAAGAGAGATCAGACTGGGATGTACTAGACACGCCTCTCCTTCCCCTCTTCTTCAACTTCTCCTTTGAGTTTTCATGATGGCCATGAGCGGCCAAATTTTCATAACTTGGTTGAAGGAAACGGAGGCCTCGAAATCACTAAAACTGTGAGATCTAATCTATTTTTAGTGTTCGATATATGCTTTGAGTATTGGATGTTCTTCTATGCATATTTTCATGATTGTCTCATTTAATTACTAGAAGGCCTACTAGTTTATTATTTGTTGCAATCTATCGCTAAATTAGATATCAAATCCGTAATTGTTTGATCCCTCTAATTTGTGAGTAACTAAGAGTTAAGAATTTGTTGTGTCAGGAATTATTAAATCTTAAGAAGAACGCTCGACTAAATTAAATACAACTGCTTGTGTTTGTGTTGTTCAGCTTCATCGATCTCTCTAGTTCTTAAGGCTGCTA